ATCCCAGCTGAGCCCAGACCTCGTAGGACAGAAATGAGCATCCCCTCTGCAAGCTGCCCTAATTCCAGAACCTGGGAATTGTACTTTAGACTCATGATAAATGAATGTTTTAAGTCTTTAAGGTTGGGGGCAGCTTATCACACAGCCATAGGATCATTGAAACACCATCCTCTGGTAAGGAAGTCCCTCACTAGCCAACCTGAGTGTCACCTGTTCCTTCTGGGGCCCTGACTGATGAAACATGTGACAGTCATTGGGGCTGATAACTGCCTTCGATGTCTCTCTTCTGGAAAAGTGAAACTGCACTTGCCTCCGAGGTCGCATGTGGCCTGGGGATTGGATTTGCTTTGGACAATGAAATGTGAACAGAAATGACATGTGTCACCTCTAGACTGGAGCTTCAAAACCAGTGGGCCACCCACCATGGTTCCTCCCCTCTGACAGCATGACCAGTGATATCAGACTGTGCCGGTTCTATTGACCTGGGTCCCCGAGTGACGATGCCGTGGAGAAGAGCTACCTATAAGCCGCTCACCCCACTCCGCAGGTAGATAAGCCCTGCGAACAAAGACATTAACACTTGTTGTTTCAGCCCCTGAGATGCTGGTGGTGTTTGCGCCTGTCACTATGTCATCGTAGCAACAGATACAGGAAGTTCTTTTCTCAAACTAACCCTGACAAAAACATCCCCCTCCACAAGGGGAGCGCTGGAACGCCTGAATATTCTGCACCAAAAAAAGAAAGCACTATAAATTAAGCAAATATACATATCTATCTTTTCAACATCTATGATCAGGAAAACCACAGATATCGACCACGTGGGAACATGGTTGCCATGGAAACATGCCTGCCTCCTTGACCTCCATCTACCAAGATGTAAGTGACCCAGGGGCCTGTGGCTATGCTGCAACCTCAGCACGTGGCCCACAGGTGGCTCACAGCCCCTGGCTGAGGGCAGGCAGCCAGCCAGCTCTGGCGGACCTGTTTGGGGGCACCTGGACCTTGTCACAACAGTCTGGGACGCTCCCAGTCAGGTTCACACTACGCTGCACTTGCGTCAGGCTGGCCTGGCAGTCTGACAACGCCACAGCCAGCTGTCCCTACCTTGCTCCCTGTTTTCTCTCTCACCAGCACTTCCGCTGGCAAAACCCTCGCACTTGTGATCCCAACCTGCATCCGCGCCACTGAGAACTCAGACTCCCACAACCATGCCAATGAAAACGCAGCCTTGACAATTCAGCTTTGATAAATCAAACATACGGAGACAACAGAACTAGCTCATGCTGGACAATTAATGGCTGTCCCATTAGTCTAAAGTCATTAATAACTATTTTTGCGCAACATGATGTCCATGGCTATGGCTAGATCTAATTCCTAAATGACCTATATTAACATGGTATCATTTTCTTTAATGTGGCTTTTACAAAGTATGATTTTAACCTATCTCCAAAAATTCATCCTTCCCTAAATGACCAAAACAGGCTCCCGATCTCTTATCCCAAACCCTGCAGACCATGCATTTTGGAATTCAAAACCTCATCCTTTAGAAAAGCAGTATTACATCTGCCATACTTGACACAACCCAGCGGTCGGGAGCAGAGCTCTACAATCCAATGCATGAATATTTCTTCATAAAGCTCACAGACATTAATGCAAGTGAGATAAAAACAGCCCTGTGACTGTTCAGGCACACGTATGCCACCAGAGTCCAGCAAAGGTTAGGTTGTGTTGCCATATCAATGACTTAAAAAATTCCGTTTTCGGAGGTTTTTCAATTTTTGAGTTGTGAATAAGGGATTGTATTTCCACACTACAGAAAACTATGCAGCCCTATTTTTTTTTTAAGAAAAGCCAAACCAAACAAGAAAAACCCAGATACACCTTTGGGCTAACACAGGAGAACAAATGACCCCCCCACACACACACAGCGGAGCAGTGTGCACAGGAGGTGTGGCGTTCAACACGCGCAGGGTGGGAAGAGGAGAGGTGGAGGCCATCTGTCTTGTCAGGCACCCCCTGCTCCCCTCCTTTTACTGCCCACAACCCGTTGTAATGACTTAAGGAATGCTGTGGAGACACTGTTTATGAGTACTGACTGTGATGTGGTAGAGTTACTGAGTATGAATTTATTTATGTTATTTATGAGACAGAGAGACTAAATTCACCTCTGCAAACTGCCTGCGCTGATGGTGCAGAACTGGAATGTTTTGCATAAACTAGGGGCTGAGATAGCGCACCAAGGAAATTTACTAAGGGTATTAAATGAGGGTCTTCAGTCGAGGCAAGGGACCCAACATGGGAGAACTATGGACGGGAGCCCCTGCAGTAGACATGACACTCCCAGGTCTCCCTCCACATCAGAGGAGAGGGTACAGGCTCCAGATGTGACTGTCCCCACTGGGAATGCCTCAGGAAATGCCCAATTCTGGACTTCTTTCCTCTTGTTTCTGAGCCCCTGGCCAGCCATCCATACACTTTATCAACCACTCAGGAAGCCCAGAGCTGGAGGAGAGGCTGGCCACCTCCCCCCACCCCACTTCTTTCCTATGCCTTTAATTTTAAGTAGCAAAACACAAACAAAATAAAAAGATGAAGAGCAGGAATAAAAATCAATTAAGGAGGAAATATTCTCCCTAGTTGCTCAATAGCCCTAGGAGAAATGGTCCTCGATGAATAAAAGTTAAGGAGTCCTAATGAGGGATTGGAAATCTAATATGGTAATGTTCACTTTGCTCCGTATACTCAGTATTGACTGTATTTTTTCACAGTAAGCACACATTAAAATAACTGCATGATTTTCAAAATCTCACGTGAATCATGGGCATTACTGAGAACACTGTTAGTTACTAAACATAAAGCACTATTATTATTCTCTATGAACCACCATCTGAGAATGTACCAAGTGCAAGCACTTTGCCTGGCACTTTGACACACGCCGCTCCATTTGTGTGCTGTTTATTCAACCTCTAGATCTAAGGTACTATGCTTGGCACTGGATACCCCCGTGAACAAAACAAGGGTGAACCCTACCCCTAAGAAGCAGGCAAACTGCTGGGGAGACAGACATTAAGCAAGCCATTGCACACTTAATGATCTGATTCCCCTCGTGGCGAGCACTGTGAAGGAGACGCACGGCGACCGTCAGACCCTCACGGCAGCTCTCTGAGTGGGTCTCATCCTCAATTACAGATAAAGAGTTATCATTAATATTTGTACCCTTAAGGTGTGCTAATTATAAGGACATAAAAACACCGAACCAAAAATAATTTTATAATTATAGCTATTACGACAATGACTTGGGGAATTATTTTATAACAACCGGTCAATGAGGAAAAGGATGGAAAACACGTGCGAGAAAGTCTAAGCGTGTGAGAGCACATACAGATAACTCCTGCGGAGGATTTCCCCGGGGCTGTTGTGTTGCTCCGCAGAGGGAAATTCCTCCACGCAGCGGTCTGAGACCTTCACTCCAAACCCCCGTCCCAACCCCAGAACAGCAAGAGAGGAACAGAAAGACAACCTGGAAGCAAACACAAGGTCTGTATTTTCCAAAGATATGTTCCATATCAAAAAGACATTTTTAATTTACACCCTGACTGGTGTGGCTCAGTGGATTGAGTGCCGGCCTCAGAACCAAAGGATCAGGGGTTCAGTTCCCAGTCAGGACACATGCCTGGGTTGGGGGCACGTGAGAGACAACCACTCATTGATGTTTCTCTCCCTCTCTTTCTTCCTCCCCTTCCCTTCTCTTTGGAAATGGGTGAATAAAATCTTTAAAAAAAAAAAAGGAAAAGATATTTTTAATTTCAAAGACTTGGTTCCTTTGTGCCCATAAACCACTAAACCTAGAAATTTCAAAATTTTGATGTTCAAGCCACATCCAAGATTACCCCTTGAACCTAGAAATAATGTAAAATCCTAATCAGAGCAAGCACCCTGTTTGGAGAACACTGTCACTGTGCTCAAAAGGCACCAAGTGGCAAGACATGAACATCGCCCACCAAGACCTGCTGCTCTAAGAGACCAGGCATGCACAAAGGCTGGCTAGAGTTGTGATACTAACTGTGGTATGTGTGGTGTGGAATTATCTCGAAGGTTACATCTCCTCAAAATAAAATACTTTGAAAATTTGGGGAAGAAAAGAAAATAGATCCAGTGATCTAAACTAGAACTCCCCTCAGCATGTGCAGCCAGGCTTCAAAGCTGCCATAACCAGGCAATCTCGGATTCTGTAAGATGAGAGCCCAATGGTTCTTGGCAGGTGTGGAAAGGTGGGCATTCTACCAAAAAGCACTGATGAGTCGCTCCTCGCCTCTCACCCAACCCAGGCTGGCAAGTCCAATAACCTGACAAAGATCCTCTTGAGTACTATATATGTCTCTTTCCTTAGTGAAGAAAAAAGTTCTTAAAATTAGAATTCTAGGTCCATGGGTGTCTCCTGACAGCTCACAATGGAGAAGCTATCAGTTGACTTATTACACAGAATGAGAGTGTCACAGGGGATTCAGACCAGTGCTAATGAGACAGCCAACCTCGGACGGGACCTTAACTTGGCTTCACTTTAATTTTTTGCTGTCACAAAATTTTTATAATAAAAAAATTATGTTCTAAGAGATGGCAAATCTAAGGGACTTGTGCTACCAGCGCCCCTCTCCACATCCACAGGAAACCTTGAGCTCTCTAGGATAGACTTGGCCTTGAGTTCCAAGTAGCCACTAACCATGAACTACGCAGGCACAAGAGTCAGTCTATTTGTCAATCCTGGTTTAGACTATCTTACTTGCCATTCAAAATGCCATATTCTACGAGACCAGATGGATCCCATCAGACTTAAGTTGTAGCCACTGTTAAGACCTGTGTCTGACAATGGCTAAGTAATATGGATAGAGGGAGAAATCAGGCTAACATCACCATCAGGTCAGTTACACCAGGTTCACCTTCCTCAGTTTCCATCAGTTGTACCACAAACAAATGAAAGGTTACATCAGCCAATCACTGACCTTATGGAGAGCAGGAGCCAAGACTGGTACCAGGAACCCATTGTAAATATAACTTACAAGCTGATTACGAATCGAGGGATGAGCCACCTAAGGGAGAAAACAAGTAGTGAGGAAAAACACAAAGAATCAAAATTTTAGGTCTTCTCAAACATCAAACATTTCTGTGTACCCTCTGAATTCAAAAAAGAAATCCAAATTTTGGCCATTTATTTCACAGTTAAAGAATAATTCAGATTTTAAACCACCATGGACTTTTTCCAGATGGTTGGTTTCAGTATAAATAGCTTGGACTTTCAAATTTTTAAAAAGTGCCCTGGCTGGTGTAGCTCAGTAGATTGAGCATAGGCCTGTGAAGCAAAGGGTCACCAGTTCAATTCAATTCCCAGTCAGGGCACATGCCTGGACTGCAGACCAGGTCCCCAGTAGGGGACACATGAAAGGCAACCACACATTGATGGTTCTCTCCCACTCTTTCTCTTCCCTGTCTCCTCTCTCTAAAAATAAATAAATAAAATATGTTTTTAAATATTAAGAAAAAAATTTTAAGTGGCAATTTTAAGTTTCTGTTTTTAAAAAATAGACAATAAATAGCCTGAGATGTATAGGAGTCATAATATAAAATTCACAAGCTGAATAGTATAATTTTTACCCCATAACTTCATCTATGTCTCATCTCAACTTGGAACTAATTTAATATATATATAAATTATATGTTATATATATAATAATATATATAGTAAATTAGTTCCAAGTGTATGTATGTATAACTATCAAAATGGACAATTAAATACATTTATTTTGCTGGCAGAAAAAAATTTCTAATTTTGAAGGTGTATTTTCTGCTCCTCATTTTATTGTGGAGGAAGGTATTTAGGAAATCTTTTTGTAAAAAATAGATCCTATTCAAAGGCAGAAAACATTATCAGAGGTTAAAAAGAAAACTTCCTATATTTGATTTCCAAAATATATTTACCATGGATAATCCTTATTAATATCTTTTATAAGTAACCTTTTCAATAGTGCCCCCCAAAATGTTACAACTACCATATTTTGCCATGTAATAAATAATCTGCACCCTCATTTTTGTGTGCATCATGCATGACATTATTACATGGATGGGATGTAATCATTGTTCCCATGTATACCTTATCCTTATCTTTCCCTCAAAAATTTGGGCAAAAAAGTACACATTATACATGGCAAAATATGGTACATAGCCTCAATTTCAAAATATAGTATGAAATACATCACTTTCCTTTTCTTAACTATGACTATTAACTTTATTTTTCTTTGTTAAAAAATAGTCAAATAAAGTAAACAGCAATTTCTAGGGAAATGAAGATATAGCTTTGAATTACTAGTCTTTCTCTGTGTATACATTTGGGGAGAAACTAATAGTTCTATTTGTTTTATTTCCACACAATTCTGCAGAAAAATGTTGATAGACTGCTATATTAAAGAAAAAATGACAATATGTAATCCACTTATATATAAATAAAACTTCCTTTGACTTAGCAATAAAAATGAGATGGGAACCAAAGTAATTTATTTCCATTTTCTTCCAGAAGCTATTTCTTTATTTGGTAGATAAACAGATTATCACTAACATTTTTCACCTTACAATCACCATAAAGAAAATTTGATTTCTTAATAAATCCAATATTAAGGTGATATTTACGCTGTACAGAAATAAAACATTGTTTGACAAATATCTACTACATCCTTAAATGTATATAAAATCTGATTTTTATTGAAAACAATAACAAGAAATCAGAAAGTAAAAATCCAATCAACAAGCCAAATATAGTAGAGTTCAGTGGTGCCCCCCCCGCCCCCGCACCAAGCAGGCCAATTTCAAAGCAAATTTAATTTGTGTTACTAAGAAGATGCTTAAGTTCTTTTAAATTCAATCGGGATAACAACATTCTTTATGTAGTATGCACCATTAAGCAAAACAAAATGTTTTCCTTTGTAGACTCCCAAAAGACCTTGAAATAAAAGTGGTATGATTCGGAGTGCTTAAAAGCCTACAAATATCTATTTAATGAGTCAGGCATTGAACTTATTTTTTGATGGTTAAGTAGATAATCAAAACAGAATTATCAATTATATAAGGAAGATAAAGAAAATCTACTTATTTTTTCTCAATTAAAACTTCCCAGAACCCATAAACTAACATTTTTACTCATCCAAGGATATTCAGTGTGCTTCAAGCAAAGCATCCATAGTCCATAAACACTCAAGTAAAAGGGGGACTGTTCATAACCTACTCCTTGGTGATGCTTGTACTCCGAAGGCACCGTAACACAGGGTCCCTGCACTGTGCTCAGTACCTGGATGACGGCATTGCAGAACTCCAGGGAGTTCATGAACTGCACGAGGGAAGGGAGGAGGAGCCAGTCGTCTCTGAGAAGGCAGTGCCACTCCTCGCCTTTCTCTTCCAGCTTTGTAGGTAGGGAAGAGTAGAGACCACTGAGCCCCGTGGCAAGCACCTGTGTTCAGAAACAAAACTGTCATCAGCTCTCTTCCAAAGTCTCACCCTGCGACTAAGAGCTCCCAGGGGAGGCCCATGCTGCTGGTCCAAAGGCTGCCCTGGAAGTAGCGAGGAATTGAAGAATGAGAGGGTATTCCGCTGGTTAGAAAGGATTCGACAGGTGCAGACGGACACCTCCAATAGAGGGAACAGCAGCACCCAAGGTATTTGGTTAATACGTACACTGTTGACATGGGTTGCTTATCTCCTATGGACTAGGCGTATGCTGGCCTGCAGGTAGGGAGTGAGGGAGACGCATGCACAGATGAAGAAAACACGATTCCTGCCCCCACGATATTCAGGAGAGGAGCAAACTCAACGCAGTGCATTATAGCACAATGCACTGAGTGCAAATACAGAGAAGGCACGCACCCCAGTCTGTGGGAGGAAGCCCTGGACAAGGGCGCTCGCTCCAGGACAGAAGGTCTCCCAGTAAGAACCTTGAGGGGCGTTACGAGAAAGATTCCTGCAAATGTGTTAAAGGCCATGATAGACACATACATAGTTACAGTTTCAAAAGCACTTTAATCTGATATTCACAAATGATAGCAAGGAAAACGAACTGGGGGTCATGGGTCAGTTAGATGTGACGGCAATAGTTCAAACAGAGCTACAGTGCATCAAAGCTGAAGCATCAGCAGTAGGAAAAGGGAGGAGGAAATAAACGTGCGGTTCACATGTAAGTGGATGTGAGGGTGCGCTAGCTACGATGTCTATCGATCCAGGATTAATCCAAAGCTCATGAGGTTTACTTCCTCCCTCTGTGCTCTGTCCCCAAAATGACAGCATTTGGACTTGGTGAGGGTGAGCGAGAACTCACAACTGTCAAGTTATCCAGCTCGGTCATTAAGAAAATGGCAAATCCTTTAACAGAGATAGAAGTAGGGGGAAGAAGCCCACCTGTGCTGTGTGCCTGCTGATTTTACCTTGGGGAGTATGAGACCGAGGGAAATTGAGAATGTTGCAATTGCTCCCAGCTGAGGAGCAATGCTAGCCAAACAGCACCATAGAGGTCCCCACCAGCAGGCGTGCAAAGGGTGGGCAGGAACAGCACAGGACAGAAGCCGGGAAGCTGTCTGTAAAAGGCACTCCTCTAGGGTAAAGCCTGAGGCTATGGGGAACTCAAACGGGCTGGAAGCATTCAAGAGAACATTCAATCCTAACTTCGGCCCAGAAAAGAAATAGCGAAGTATTCACTGATCTCTGTGTCTAGTAAGAGATGAATTGGCAATTGAAATAGTGTAACAAATGTTCAGAATACATAATAGAGAATGTATGGTGCTGTGCATATACATAAAGGCCCTTAATCCAGATTTGGGGTGGGAGGGAGCAGGAAATGTTCTCAGAAGCGATGTCCAAGCTGCTGAAGAATAAATAGTATATAGTCAGGAAAAGAGTGTTGAAAGGAAGAATATGCTAAGCAGAGGGTGTACAAAAGCTCAAAGGAAAAAGAAAAGATGGTACCTTCCAGGGACTAAGAGAAGTGAGGTATTATTGGACTGTAGAATTAGAGGTGATGAGAGCCCAGCAAGGTGAGCAGGAGCCAGATCCTGTGGGGTTTTGCAGGCAGAATAAAGAGACACAGGGCCATCCCACTGGAGAGCCCAGTAGGCAGCTGCGTGGAGTCTGGTGCATAGGAGAGAGATCTGGATTAGAGATGGAGACCTGAAACCGTCCATGCGTAGATGGTACCTCCAGCCCTAGAGACCAGAGGGAGAAGGGAAGGGAGGTTTTGACAGCTGAGATGTGACAAAGCAACCCGCAGTGCCTGGCATCAGAAAGAGAAAGTCAGCAGGAGGTGTGGGTGCAGGCACGGCGGACCAGGAAAAAGCATCCAGGAACTCGTCGCTGCCTCTCCCTTCCCCTCGCCCCTTTCCCACTGCGCCCTCTGTATCCCTTCGTGTAGCAGCTGTCATTCTTGCATTTCCGGTGCACTGGCTGTCTTCTCACCTCACTCGGTCTCACTTGTTCAGTCCGGGCCACACCGGAGGGGGATGACGTGTGCCGGCAGGTATGTGAAGTGTCGGGGGCGAGCAGTACTTCCCACAAGTGACACATCAAACTCAACAGCAGAATACAGGCAGGCCTGGCCTGGGAAACGGGACCTAACAGGCCTTAAGTGCAGCAAAACCAGGTGAGGCCACAGGAAGGAGGGGGTGGGGTCATGTGGAGAGGAGCCCACAGTGGAGTCGGAAGGGCAGTGAGGGAAACAGAGGAACCATTTCACTAGGTGAGAAACCAAAAGATTCTACCCATTTCTCTGTTGTTTCCCAGTGACCTTTGTTCACTCACTGAGCCCCTTGTTCCTTAGAAAAGAATCACTGAGCACCTCCAGGCCAGGCAGTAGGGTAAGTACAGGAAACACAACAGTAAACGAGACAGTGCATTTATCGCTTTTTCAAAATCTGAGCATCTGTGGTCCCAAAGGAGAATGTCCCCTATTTAAGTACTTAACTCCTTGTCAACACACCCAAACAAATCACTTTAATTCCAGTGTGAAAGGTGACCCCAGTGGGTTGCATGTACAAAATTTAAAACCTTCACCAAGAGAGAATGGAGACCAAAAGTTCTCCTTGAAGGGAAATCTAACCTTGATGCCACATTTAAAAAATCAATTACATTTGCTAACTCATGCTAAATTAACCACAGAACAAAAGGCTTTAATTCTGCATACTCCTGATTCCTTAACCACTTTGAGGCTTTGAAGATGATTTCATAAAGACAGGCCTAATTTGTCTGACTAAAACTCTGGGAATAACTACTTAGTATATCAATATAATTACAGCAACATTAATCTTCAAATTATATACATCAGTGACAGTAATTAAAAATAACACACACCTAATATTTACTTTTTTAAAAGCGTATTCTTGGAAAAGGCACCGCTGAGGTGTGAACGGAAGCCTGCCTGTCTGTGCCGGACAGTACACGTCACCGCTGGACGGTGAGCCCCGTAGCTCTTGCCGCTGTGAGGGGGGCTCGAGAAGGCCTCTGCCATAGTCTTCAGGCAAAGGAACATGGAAGGAAATATTCTGCGGAATAAACTATCCCATAGTCTTAAGAACAAGGGTCTGAATCTTTACTGCTACATATTCATATTTCCCTTCCTAAGACTTTGCTCAGAGGTCAGATTCATTCACCCAATCCGCATACGTTTCTAGAACATCGACTATGGCCAGGTGCTAGAGAAAGAGAAGCAAACAAGTCAGACCAGGCGAGAAGGAGGGGACGGATGATACACTAATACATGTGACAGAGACGACTGCCACGCAAAGGGATGCGGGGGGCGCCTCAGGAATGGCACCAGGGCAACGGAGAGGCCGCACCAGGCGCGCAGGTGATTTTCCCAAGAGTTAAATAGCAAAATCTATTTGCGTTTAAATTTCATTTTAAACTGAATTTAAAATACACAGGCATTCAACAGCTCATTGGAACAAAATGCCCATACATTATTTCAGCCTTTCATTGATCGTGACCAATGAATTACAAAAGTAATTATAGAACATATTTATTCCCAATACATTAAGTATTGACCCAATATTTTAAATTTATTTGCTCTCAAGAGTCTTCTTAAAAGAAACGAATCACCATATAAAACTATAAGGATAACAACAGGTAATTTAAAAAGAAACCACTTCCTTGGAAGCAGTATACCGTGGTGGTTGGTGAGACAGTGCATTTCAGTACCAGACTAAAGCAGTTGTTCAACTTGACTCTGCCACTGACAGCAGTTATGAAGTCCTCTAGGGTTCAGGTTCTTTACTCAGTTGCAGCAAGGATTAACGAAAGTAGTGCAAGTAGAAAGATGACCGTCACTGGTTTACACGTTGCAGTGTTCCCAGTGGAGAAAAGAAAGGACACATGCACAGAGCGCAGAACAAGTCAGAGAAGGTCCACCTTTAACTCGAAACACCTGAAAGTACCCAGTTAATTTCGGCAAAAACAAAAAGATTTTTAGCAGATGGCTTCAGTCTGAAGCTAGCAGCAGAACACCTGGTGGGGACCATTTGCTACACCTTGCCAACATAAAAAGCCTCATAAATTTCAAATATGGGATAAATAATGTTCTACCCATGGCTGCGTACCTAAAGGTTGCTTATTTCAATTTGCATTCCGAATTTATAGGCTACTTTCTACCTTTGCCAAAATGGAACAAGTAACAAGGGCTTAATCATCAATATTTGTTTTAAAAAGAATCGAGAGAAGACAAGGTCACAGAGTCCCCAGCCATCTACGTGTTGGCACTCAAGTGTTCCCTAGGGCATCCTCGTTCCTTTGCTTTTCTTGGAAAAGCACATCTTGAGATAAGAGGCAGTGGAACCAGCAAGCTCTTCCTATAACTATGACAGAAGTTTCCAAAAGTGGTCTAGTTTCCTGAAAGAGTCATTACTCTTCCCAACGCCTGATGCTAACACACTTTGACAATCATACTAATTAGAGAAAGCTCTTTGTCATCTGTGATCCTTAGCTGGATGGTTAATAGAGTATGCTTTTATATTCAACACAAAGAGGCCCCCTTTAAAAAATTATGTTGTCAGATGTAATTATAGAAAACTGGGTACAAATGAGATGACGGGGTCCATCCTGAGGGGGCAGCTTAACACAGCAAAGCTGTGTGTTCTGTTCCAGAAAATAAGGTCAGTTGTGGTTGCTGTTTTTCCTCCAATTTTTATGAACTGTACAGTGTTTGAAAACACCTTTTCATAACAGCAACAGCTCCTCAGTAAAATCTGCTGCCAATGTAAGCAGCCCTAATAAATTTAAGGGTTTAAGTATGAAATATTACAAACACATAAAACATAACAGAATAGAAACCATCCCAAGATTTCGAGGATTTTAATATTTGCCCATAATTTCTTCAGGGCACTCTTTATTTTTATCAAAAAATAAAACATACCAAATAGAGCTAAACCCTACTGCTCCCTCCTCCTCCCTTCACCCTGAAAAGCAATAGGTACTTGAAGTTAGTACCTATTATTCCTATACTCATTTTTGTACTTTCACCATATATGCAGTGGAAATGTGTGTGTGTGTGTGTATCCAAAAAACAGCATATACTCAGATTTTGTCTTTATGTAAATTTTAGGTGAATACCAATATACTATGTAACTTTCTGTTACTTACTTCTTTCACTTAATATGTTTTTAGACTTACAGGTATTAGCCCTGGCTGGAGTGGCTCAGTGGATTGAGCACGGGCCTGCAAAGCAAAGGGTCACTGGTTTAATTCCCAGTCAGGGCGCATGCCTGGGTTGTAGGCCAGGTCCCTGGTGGGGGGACACGTAAGAGGCAACTACACACTGATGTTTCTCTCCCTCCCCCCTCCCCTCTTCTCCTCTGTCTAAAAATAAATAAATAAAATCTTTTTAAAAATAGACGTATAGGTATTCACATTTATATAGTTATATGTGATTCAGTCATTTTGAATGCTGAGTCGTACTCCACTGATGTAGGACAAACCAGTTTATCTTCCCCTTAATATATTTCTATTTTTCTCTTCTCAAGTCAGTATTCCATTGAATGTCTTCATGCACATACCCTCACACACATGCCAGACTGCCCTAGGGCGGGTATCTAGAAGATGCGCAATCGCACTGCACACAAATATTCCACGCTGTTAAATGCTTCCTGCCCTATTGCACCAATGTACGTTCTCGAGAGTTCCTACTTTCCACGCCCCTGACGATGCTTGGTGCTACCAGAGGGCCAACAGTCAGCTGCTCTGGCGAGCACGGTCCGGTGTCTCTTGGGACGATGTGCATCCCCCACAAGTGCTAGGGAAGATGAGCATGTTTTCATGTGTTAATTGGCTTTGGGTGCCTTTTGGGAATTGTCTGTTCACATCCTTTGCCCACTTTTCTAATGCATTGTTTCATCATTTCCTTATTCATTTGTACCATTACAAATGTTTTTTTTTTATTCAATCTGTGTTTTTTGTTCTTCATTCTAGTCTCTTCTTTATGGCTGGTGTTTTATGGTAAATCTTGATATCCTATTACCTATGTACAAGGTTAATAAGCACATGGCTCATTGAGTCAGGCTGCCCAGGTTCAAATCCTGACTCCATCTCTTACTAACCCTGTTCACGGGTTCAAGTATTAATTTGTAGACAACTCGGAGGGGGAGGAGGAAGGCATTATTCTGCACACCACAGTTGTTATACCCAGTTTGGAGAACTTTCCTTGAAGAAATTTAAGCAATAAAAGAGCAAAACCAGAATTTTCTTAGAATTTAACCCGACAACAAAGATGGTGAGTTTGGTGGATACTAAGGAGGTAGATAGACACGTCAGGGTCTAGAAACAAGAGTGGTGGGGATGAGAATGAAAAGGAGGAGCTGGATATGAGCAGTGCTGTGAAGGCAGAAGCTTAGTAAAAGATAAACACTTTTTTCAGAGAGCTCAAAGGAAGAAAAACTTAATGCTGGCACAGATGAAGGGAATCAGTTCTTCACTTCCCGTCTGACTATCAATCTTTGCACAATTTCTTACTCCATTGGTCAGAACACAGAAAAGAAGAGCTACCTGGTGCCCTGAATTTCTTAATTGCAATTCTATGTTTCATAAAATTTTACTTGTTTGCCCTGAAATAAATATTCACCAGATATTAGGTGATCCTGGTTGTTGTGGACTGTCTGCCTGGTTCTAGGAATTGTAACTCTAGCCCCTGTGGCTAAGGAGGAGTCAGTGACCTCTGGAATGCAAGCTGCAGGAGACAAGGCTTGTCTCTGGTAGCAAATGCTGCCTCAGTTTCCTCCCTGCCCCCAAAGCACGGTTAGAAGTCCTTGATGGGTAAGACCCCTCACAGTGGGGGCAGCCTAAGCCAGACATGATCACTTGGGAGGCCATCATGGAAGGTCTGGGGGGCTGCAACAAAGAGCAATGGACTCTCGCCCCTGGCTTTGACATAGCCTGAATCCCCATGACCTCTGGGAGAAGCGCTTCCTGGCTCTAATCCCCTTAAGCCTGATGGGGAGGGGTGCAACTCCTTGCCTTGCTACAGTGTGTCCTGGGGAAAAATCTGGCATCACAAAGATTTCCTGATAAACCCGTGAAATCTGCTCTAAAAGTGCTTTCATTCATATGTTAAGGGTTCAAGCAGGAAACCCTAAAACTCTACCTGACAGACTCTGATTCAGACTAAACTCTCAGATTTCTCTGAAATGTTATCTACTATTTGATCCTTGCCACCCTGTATTCCTGTGTATTACAACCCAATAAAAGTTCCCGGAGGAAGGGGCTCAACACCCTTTTCCCCTGAGAAACTGGCCACTGCTCAAGGCCTTTTTCCTCTGGGAAACTGGCCGCCTCTCCTCCCCAAGCAGATCACATCACGTCTCAGTCATGTGTACTCTCATCCATGGCACACGGGGGCCTTGCGAGGAAAGTTGCCCCCACACCTGGTTTCTTAGTAAAAATAAGAATTTAGTAGTATAAAGAAGATTACTGCGTTTGAACCTCAAAACACGTGTTACTCATTAAGATTGCTATTAGCATTGTGAGCAGGTCATTCTTCACTGGGCAAGCCCATCCCACTAACTACCAGACACGAAGTACCCAGGCCCCTCACACTGAATGGCAGTTGACCTTCCTCCCCAGCCACCCATGTCTCTATCACAACCAAACACACCCCATACCCCTTTTCTAAAATAAATGCCCTCTAAATGTCCTCACCCCTGGCCAAAAACTACCCACATCATGTTAATTAACAACGAATCTAATTACTGACGTCGATTTTCCTGGCCTGTTCCAAAAAAATTATTTTTTTGTTATTGTATACTAATCCAGTAGAATCAGGCATATTTAGGGCAATATGGTTTACAAATAAATATAATGATACAACTGTACAAAGAAACAGACAATGGAAATGAACTGGAAATGTTCCCTCAGGGAATAATAGCTATTGTCCAATGTGACTAACAAACCAGAAGACACAAACCTGACATCTAACAATTAGAATCCAAAGGGTCTTCAGAGTCCCCTTATTTCTGGAACTGTGACTGCACCTGGGCCACTCTGACATCTGGAAACGACATTACACTTTTCCTCTCACCACACCAGTGACTAAGAACCTATACAGGCCCTGGCTGGTGTAGGTCAGTGGATTGAGCACAGGCTGCGAACTAAAGGGTTGCCACTTCGATTCCCAGTCCGGGCACGTGCCTGGATTGTGGGCCAGGTCCGCACTTGGGGTCATGTGAGAAGCAACCACACACTGATGTTTCTCTCTCTCTCTCTCCCTCCCTTCCCCTCTCTCTTAAAAACAAAGAAAAAAAACCCAAAATAAACGAAAAAGAAAAAAAACCTATACAAATAGAGAATTTCTTGCTACCTCACACTGTAAATATGTATTTATTTTTTTAAATAAAATCAGTGCCTTGTATCTATAGTTATGTTCATTATCTTGCTGAGAAACAAATTAATTTGTGAAACCATCTGTGAGGGGTCTTGCCACATGCTAGGATCTGTTGGGGCAAACTAAACCTGAAAAGCTGAAAATATAAAAAATGCAGGTCTTAGCAGTTGTTCAGGAAATGCTCTGAGGAAAAACTAAAACAGTTCCTCACCCAACAGAAATGGCCTAACACACCCAGGTGCCGCTATTGGCTTATCTTCAGCTGACGCTGCTCAGCCAAATAGCATCTCAGTTTAGGATTGCCCTGGTCCCTCCGAAAGGTCGCCTGTCAATATCTTTCCATAAAAGGTGCCAAGTACAACTTGCTGAAAGAAACAGTGAGGTATTTATCATTAGCACAAGACAGGAAAAGAGAAGTGGATCACAAACATGGCAATGAGGGAGACTTACTGGACAAAAGTACGTGTTCTCCACGATGTGACGGGCCACCATGCTGTTCTCAGCAGAGAGAGACATGATGAAAAGCAAAGCATCCCGGGCCTGCTGACCCACTGCCCCCTCTCGGTGAATGAAGGGAATCAGGAGGGAGAAGATGAGGAAGTTGGCCGCCCCCTGGTCCTCACTCGTGTGGAAGAAGAGCTCCAGAATGGATGGATCTTTGGCAAGAATGGAGCAGAGCTGATTGAGCAGGACAACCAGCTTCTCCTCCACAGCAGGGGTGGCCGTTCCCGAACAAGAGCTCAGCAACATCATCAGGGGCTTCAGAATGGGCTTGTGGTGCAGCAGCGGCTGGTGCGACTGGGTGACCAGCATCTCGTACATCTTCAGCTGTTCCATTTTAGTGTCGTCAGTAAATTCCCGCCTCAAGCTCCAAAGGAAGAGTTTCTCCATAATGTTCTCAGAGACCACAAATTCCAGAATTGGCCCCATTGCGGCATCCCTGGCTTGCTCTTCAATCAGCAAGAAGAGCATGTGTTCTACATAATTCTGCACAGCGCTGGCCTCATCTGGAGGGATGGATCCATATTTTGCCTGGGTGTTCTTCAAGGGGTCATGCTTCTCTAAGATCTTCACAACCTGTAACCCAACCAAACAGTTGTCATCCATCTGATGTCTGTCATGACAAAAACAAACCACCCGATTGTACCAAAATTTACAGTTGACACAGAAGCCATGGCCCACAACAAGGTCTGTGTGAGCTCGGTGTTCATCTCTCTCTCATGAGAATACAATGAAGGGGTTCAACTATAGACAGATGATGTTTGAAGAAGTTCACTTATAATAGTTATAATTATTTGACCTCCTCAGTATCAAAGAAAGCAGTATGGTTTTGTCAATTAAGCTACATGCATTTATGAGCCTGTTATCATGGAGACTACTGAGCAACATGAAACCTTGTAAGTGATATGTTAGATGAAAAAATGAGTTGCTTTATCTAGTTACATCCATCATTATCAACTATGTCAAAAACATGTGAAAAAAGACTCAAAGGAAATATAAAAACCAGGAACTACTTTTGTGTTCAAAGTGGTAAGTTCCTAAACTTTTTTAAACTGGCAAGAATACTGCTTTTCAATTTTAAAATACATTAGATAAGTAAGACTACCCGTGTTGATTTGGAGATTTCGGCAGAGGAAGGCAGCTCCTCACCTGCCCTGGACAGAACATTACCCTCCCCTCCTCCACCCGGATGGCCACCCTTCCAACTGAGCCAGCGCCATCAGGAAGGTGAAAGGAAACCAGTGAACAAAAGACACACGCCCAGCAGCATCAACCCTAACATCCGACGTGTACCTGCACTTCTTCAGGCCAGAAAATGTTCCCTATAATAGGAAATAAATAGGAAATAAATCCCTAACATCCAGAATTTCTGTTTAGGGTAATGGAAGAGTATGGGAAATAGTGGTGATGACTGCATATCACTGTGAATGTGACATGACATTGTTAATGTCATGGAATTACACACTTAAAAAGGTCAGGATGGCAAACTCCACTTATTTATTTGTTTGTTTATTTATTTATTTAAATCCTCACCCAAGGATATTTTTTCATTGCTTTTAGAGAGTGAGAGAGAGAGGGGAAGGGATTGAGGGGAGGTCGGGAGGGTGAGGGAGAGAGAAAGAGAGACAAATGTCCTTGTGAGAGAGAAACATCAATCAGTTGCTCTTTTGTACATTCCCCAACCTGGGATTGAACCCACAACTGTATGTACCCTGGGAATCGAACCCACAACCCTTCAGCCTATGGGATGATGCTTCAACCAAGTAAGACACACTAGCCAGGACTCATCATATATATTCTGCCACCAAAAGGAAAAAGTCAACTGACAGTAAAAAATCAATCGATAAAGCCCTAATTGGGTCATGTGACTGCCCTGGTGTTTCCCTCAGCACTGCTGGCCCGTGAATGTCTGTCAATGCTGACTTCTTTGGGAGTCAGTATTGGGACCTGGAAATAAAACAACTTTTTTATCTCAACTTCCATGTAACTTTATGACTTGGAATTGTTATGGTAATATGTATTCACTTCCTTTAAAAGGTATACATATGATGATTTTTAAACAGTCCCAAACTGATGATTTATAGTAATTCCTTTGTGCCTTTCTAAATTGCATGCTATATGAAATATGTTGTGTTCTGCAGTACCCTCCTGCCCCAGTTCTACAACGTGCTGTTACGTGTTCTGTATTTAGGTTACAGAACTTTTGCAAGTCACTGGGGAAGCTGGCAAAGGTACTGTGCTCCGTCAGCGAGAATGAACGCAAGATAGGAGTGTGCTTCTCAGGGCGAGGTCTAAGTTTTCTCCCTGTCTTCTGACAAAGGAACTTGTATAGCCTAGGCAAGTTATATCCTTTTAGAGTGAACAGAAAGCACAGAATCTGTAATCTCTATCGGCTTCCATCCAAAAATTAATAATACGTTTGCCCTGGCTGGTGTAGCTCAGTGGATTGAGCGCAAGCTTGCGAACCAAAGGATCGCAGTTTGATTCCCAGTCCGGGCACATGCCTGGGTTGCAGGCCAGTTCCCAGCAGGGGATGCACAAGAGGCAACCATACACTGATATTTCTCTCCCTCTCCCCTTCCCTTCTCCCTCTAAAGGTAAGTAAATAAAATATTTTTAAAAATCACCTATAAAAAATTAGTAATACTGTCACAAAGAGGAAAAATCACCCCAACACTCCTGAACTGACATTTCCAATAAGGCCTTCAGTTTGAAGCTGCCCAGGAGGTACCCGGCTCCATGACCGTGACCCCACTGTGCCCACTGGACATGCCCTCTCTTTCTGACTCCAGAGTGCCCCCGCCCATCCCAAGAAGCCATCTGCAATTCCCCAAGGGCCTGATAACCTCAGTGGCATTTCTGCTGGGACCTAACTGTCCCCCTTTCCCTTTGCTCTGGCCTGGGTGACACTGCACAGAGATCGCACTACCACACTTGTCCAAAAGGGGGCTCCACCTCAACACAGCATGTTCTCCAGCCCCAAAGCCCAAACTTGAATGTGGATTTGCTCCACATTCTGAAGAACAAATTAACTATGCATTGTATCAGTTCTATAATGCCGGCGTCCACATACTAAGTTTCCTTAGGAGAGCTATCTGCACAGGTAGACCCTGAGGTGGAAATGTAATTAAACTTCTCACATGTGCTCATGCTGTCTGAACTGTCTAAAATTGGGACTGTTCATTATGTATCAATGGTGGCAGAGCAAATTAGCTCAATCTTCCTGGAAAGCAATCTGGCAATTTGTACAGAAGCCACAAAAAAATTGCCCCTGACCTTTGGCTTGTTAATCTCACCTTGGGGAAAAGGCCTAAAGGAAAAAACCCAAAAATGATTTGTTAAAAAATGTTTGCACCAGTGATATTTTTAATGATGAAAAAATATCACTGACCCAAATGGCTAAAAATAAAAGAATTATAATTAAAATGTTATATCACCACACAATAAACCTATCCAAAAAAACCACTAAATGCATTATATAATTACCTACAAATGTATACATGAAACAATTTAAGTTAAAAATTAAATATTTTATGAAGATGTATGATTAGAAGTGTCAGATTAATTACCTCTTCTTTCCTGTAAATTTATCTAATTTCATAATATAAAAATAAAAGTAGATAAGGTACCGAATAATTTTATACTAATGTCTTTTAAAAGGACCAAAACACTGAGTTAACAATTAATAACTAGAAATCTCATCCTCAGAATTCCTAAGTAATATAAATTTATGTATATGTATTTATACTATATTCATGCATGTAAATATTATATATCTAAATGTGTATGTGTAATACACACCAAAACTATATACATGATCACAAGTTACATTTTTCTCATGAATTAATCTTCATTTATATTATTTATTCCAATGTGTTTCTTTGCAGACAGATCTATTTTTTTCTTTTTGCTATGAAAAACCTTAAAAAGAGAGCTGAGACTTTTATACAGAATGTAAACTGTTTAGCAGCTTTTTTAAGTCCAATCACCTTTAAAAATTTTTTTTTGTTATTCTATTAGTTATTCCAATCCCCCCCCCTTGCTCTTCCCTGCCCCGCCTCTCTCCCACCCCACCCCCACTCCCACAGTCAGTCCCCCACTGTTGTCCATGTCCATGGGTCATTCACACAGGTTCTTTGACTAGTCCCTTCCCCTTCTTTCCACCAATATCCTCCTCACCCCTCCCCTCTGGTCACTGTAAGTCAAAGCATCTTTATAGTAGCTCCTCCACACTGCCTTTTGGGTTAATGAGCAGGGAAACATGAGAACAGAGCTATAAAAACCCATGACAATATAAGGTTTGCTGATCCTTCTGGAAAGGAACAGACCCACTGAAAGCCCTTTCTTCACTCCCAGCCCTGGCTGGGGTGGCTTTACTGCCTGGAATTCTGATGGGTGTATTGCAACACAGCCCATGAGTCATGGAAAACACAATGCCCAGCAAAGTGCTGATTACACCCGTGTTGCCACATGTCCTTCACCCCTTTCCTTAGGTGTCAGGACCCTCCCAGGCCACCTCCCTTTCCTTTCCAGGCAGTCACGCCCATGATGTGCTTTTACTAGTGGGCCCTGCACGCCCACACTCTGGGCCTGGTTCCTATTCTGACTGGGAATGCCTTCCAAGCTCCTTGGCTAGAGCATGACTTGCACTGAAGTGCCCAAGAACTTCTGCTTTCATCTCCCAAGTTTGCTGCCCAGATGGTGCCATAGCTCTTTCCATTTCTGTAGACTGATCCCCGATGTGATCTGGACTTTTCCTTCCTTGTTCCTTTAGTGCCCACCAAACCCCACTATTCCTGTGTCCCTGATTTTTGCTTGCTGCCTAGTTTTGCCTGTTGATCAACTCTGACCTTCCCATCCTATGGATCCACACTCCCATATGCTCACAGCAGCATCCCCAGGCCTTGTCCACTCTTGGATTATATGCTCTCTCTCCTACTCTCAATCTTGCCTCAGCTTTCCCAGCCCTGGCTTCTTCTTAGCCACGTACACTTTCAGTCTTGGGGATTCAGTTCAGGGGGGAAAAGGCACAGTTAAGGGGGCTGAAAGGATCCAAGAAGGGAAGGGAGTAAAAGCATACAAAATACACTTTGCAAGTGTTTCCTTTACTAACCACATTCACTTCATTAGGCTGCAAACTAATCAACCCCTGATAAAGCCTGCAGTCATTAAGTGAGGAAAACAGCTGAGATCAGAAATTATACTGTAAATGTTTGGCTGATCACAGCTGGATGTTTGTTGATCTACAGTCTTTAACAGATTCTGTGTGTGTGAATCATGAGCCCAGATCACAGATAGATCCACATGTAAGTTATTACAACTCTAAAAAGAAACAAATAAACAAAAAAGCAACAGTGTGAACGAAGGTATACAAATTATCATCTAACCTCCTTTGACCTTATGTATGAGGATTATTGGGACTAATTAGATGAACCAATAGCACGTTTCTTTCACTAAGGAACATCAGCTACTCCTGTCCTTTAGCTGTAATAATGGCTTCATCAGTCAATAAAAATGGGTCTGAATTTCAAATACAAATTTGAAAGAGAAAGCTCAAACACTTTTCAGAATGAAAG